CCATCACAATTACCCAAACTCTCATTCAAATTTGGGATAATGAGCTTTTTGCATATTTTCTTAGAAAGTGAAAAAAAAAAACTGTTTTTAAAATAGTCTTAAAATTCATGTTTCTCGATTGTTACGTTTTTTTAAATCATAAAAATGAATTATGATTTCTTTTTATAAAACTCGTAAATCTAATTGTACTTCGAACCAAAAGTTAAGAATTTCTCTAAAATTTACTCATTTCTTTAAGAATGATCTAAACAAGACAATTTACAAATGAGGACTTCCAGCTCAAGCTCTGTGAGGCCTGATAATCACTTATAGTCACCATAATTTAGTACAAGATTAGTTTTTTTAAAATTTTTTAATATATTTCTTATGAAAAGATTTAAGATCACATGTGCTAAAATACATTCATCAACATTTTTTTTCATTTGGTTACATAAACAATTATTAGCATTAATCCCATAGTCCAAGAAAAGAAAATTGAACCCCATCATAGTATAAAAACCATTTGGGACATAAGAATTGTAAATACAGCAGCACATGCCTTATGGTATACAACGAAGGGGGAAAAAGAATGATCTCTAGTTGGTTATGGAGAAATAGCAAATTTAGTTGCTTTAAGTCTTCCGATCTTACAACCATTAATGTATACTAAAGTAGTAAATCATAAGATAACTATTGCTGGATGCTTACTCAGTCATATTGTAGCGACCTTCAGGGAAAGAAAATCAGAAATCTTGTTGGTATAAAGATCTGGTTGTATGGTGTTAGTGGGACTTTGAAGCATTGATAAAGAGGTTACACCTATTTGCGAGAAAGAAAAACCTCAGTTAGATTATGCAATAAACAATTATCAAACAGGTTAATTTGCGGATTCATCAGTATATTAGCAGAGTTTTACCTGAGAGAACTAGCAGAGTTTTACACCCGCCATTTTGTCCAAACAAAATATCAGTATCCAATCTGTCCCCAACCATGCATATCTGGGACTTTAGGATCCCAAATCTGTCATTCATAAACTCCATACAATTAGTATATTAGACATCAAATACACAATCAAACTGATGTACTACAATCTGGCAGGGTGATTATTTTGGGAGTAAAGAAGAATAAATTGAGGTACGGTGTCTCTTCTCAAAGCTTTCTAAGAGAGTTAACGAGAGAAAAGGAGTTCATTGAACTCCTCCATACGTTTAAGGCCGTATTTTCCAAGCCCTCTAAATTAGAGCGTTTCAACCACAACTTAGAGAGTTGGGAGAGTTTTATAATTCATTTAATATTATATCTCTAGTATAGCTAGTTACTCATTTTTGTCAAAATTTATAACATAAATTTTTAATATATAAGGATATTTTGTTATATTCAACAAATCCCTATCTTATATTTCTCCATAAAACATCTCTTACATTCTTTATTATAATTAACTAAAAGACAAGAATTTAACTACAAGACAAGAAATGATTAGAACCCTTAGCTTATCTCAAAATATACTTTCTACTATTTTATTTTTAAAACTATTATCTTATTTTTTCCCTAAACCACCAAATATACTTTATGAACTTTACCATCTCAAGGCTATATGTACAATAAATAAATTCTATTTGATTCTTGCCGAGTGGAACTAGTGGTGGCAAAAAAAAAAATCGCAAACATCAACCTCACTCAAATCCGTTAAGTTCATTACAGTTTTAAACTGGACCCAATCCGAACTGGGGTGGCGGAGCAGGTTCTTTCATCAACATGCGGCACCAAAACTGTACATGCGTTTGCCACCTCTCCCTTGCTTGTCAACTTGCTTGGCCTTCCCTCCTCTATGAATAGGGGTGGTGGAGAAGGGCAATGCAATCTGAAGTGAGGGAAAACAAGAGTAGAGAGAGAAAGAGAAAAAGAAAGAAGAGAGAGAGAAGAGAAAAAAACAAAAAAAAAAGGATAAAGGGTGAGTAAACCTGAGAAGAAGTGAGGGATTTTGAGAGAGTTTGGGAGTTTTTCCTTGGGAAAATTCTGTCCAAATTGTGAGAGGAAGGAACAAGAGGGAAGAGGGAAGAAAAAGCAAAAGAAATGAGAGGAAAAGAGGAAGGAAGCTCTTGGCCAAGACATGGGTAACCCGTGAGCTTAAGGTAAAGCATACCTCTCTCGTTTGAATTTGGTTTTCCATGAAATTTTGTAGTTAGTTTTTGAATAATGTAAGGGATATTTTTGAGACTAGAAATTGCTCAAAAACATCCCAGGACTTTGTTGAAATTTCAAAATAAAAAGCCAAAAATTAAGTTAGACTTTGCCAAAGTCAAGATTCTGTGTATTGCAAGGTAAGGCAATTTGAATAACCTTTTCTTTGGTATAAGTTTCCTATATGGTAGGAGTACTTCTAAGTTGAAAATTAGCAATATTTTTAATGGGAGACTCTGCCAAAATTTCATAGAAAATTGAGGAAAACTAAGGGGAGATTCTGCCCGATTGAAAATAAGAAATTGAAGTATTCTTAAGGGGAGACTCTGCCCAATTAAACAAAGAATTTTAGAGATTTTATAGGGGGAGACTGTGCCCAAGTGAAGAGAAAATTAGAGGTTTTACTAGAGGAAACTCTGACCAAGTCAAGGTTTGCATAGGAGCTGAGATAAGTGGATCTTATGAGTTCACTAGTGCTATTTTGTTTTGACATAATTTTGACATATATATATACAAGCGGATTTATAATACTATTTACACATATATTAATGATGATTTTGATTAAAACACGTGATAGTTTTATGAGATTATGATAATGTGATTTTTACGATCAATTGGGTTGAGGGTGATCTATTATAGGGAGGATGCTCCGCTCCCACCTGTAGCATGCCAAGCTGGGTTTAGTGAACCCAGGCGATGAGTCATGAGGGATCTGCACGAGCTACGTAGTGAATCCAGGCGATGAGTCATGGGGAATCTGTTCTAGGTATGGATAGTTACGATGAATTTGTACAGAGCTATGCAATGAATCCAGACGATGAGTCACAGGAAATTTGTAAGAGTTAGGTACCTGGTCGGTTTTATGTCCCGAGGGTATCAGTGGGCCCCATACACCAACATGTAGCAAATAGGGGGTATGTCGCGAGAGAGAGATTGAGGCAGAGCATGATGTAGCGAGTGGATGTGGGTGATCGAATCTCCATGATAGTTATGGCACATATGGCTCATTATACAATGTAGCATTGTGACTATGGTTTTGTGGATTTGAGATGTCTTAATGTATAAAATATATATGGTTTCTATGTGTGTGAAAATTATATATATTGCATGTATTAGTTGAGTTGCCGTAATTTCTACTTACTGGAATTGTGGAACTCACTCCCTCATTATTTTTCAGATACTGAAGAAAATGCTGCAGAGTAAGTAGTAGTATCATGAAGAATCTTTTCAGGAGTTAGATTGAGATTACTAATTTGCTTTGTACTTTGTGTTGTAATGCAAGAAAGAAAAATTTCAGCGCCTCGTATTTTTTATTAGTTGTACAATTTCAAGGGATATAATGCTTCTGCAACATTTTGTAGTTATGAAATCATGTTGTTTTATTTAAGTCAAATGTTATACTTCGGTCATGCATATAAAAGCGGTATGGGTCGCGACATGAAGTAAGAGATCTGGTGGTTATAGGTAAACATCTTATGGTAATGGTGGCCAATAGCGACAAGGTAGCCAGTGAAGGAGAATGTCAAGGTATAGAGTGCAGATGCAAAACCATGAATTCTGCTATAATTTCAAGATAATCCCTTGGGAAATTATGATATGATTCTTTAGAGATGTTGTGAGACTCCATGGCATTCATAAGACTATAATTAGTGATAGTGATGTGAAGTTCTTGAGTCCCTTTTGGCGAGTGTTGTGCGGTAAGTCAAGGACTAAGTTACTATTCTCTACAATTTGTCACCCCCAAATTGAGGTGATCAATAAGACATTAGGATCTCTATTATGAGCAGTCATAGGTAGAAACTTCAAAACTTGTGAAGATTACTTACGTATGGTGGAGTTTGCTTACAACTGAAGTATCCATATTTCCATAGGGTTTTCATTTCTTGAAGTCATCTATTGTTTTAATCCTTCAACTTCCTTTGATCCAACACCTTTGCCACCTTTGGCTCTATAGGAAATAACTAATACAGATAGACAACGGAGAGTTGAGATAATTAAAGCCATGCATGAGAAGGCTTGATAGCATTTAAACAAGTAGAATGAATTCTACGCTCGTAATGCCAACAAGTGAAGGAAACGGGTCATGTTCCAACCTGGTCACTAGGTTTAGGTTCATACTCGAAAGAAAAAATTTCCTAACAATGAAAATTAAAGCTAGATCCTAGAGGCAATCAGCCATTTCAAGTCTTGGAGTGCTTATATAAGATAGCCTTTCTGAGTGAGTATGGTATGCTTGGTACCCTTAATGTTTATGATCTTTCTTCTTTTGATGTAAGTGAAAATTCGAGAACGTATCATTTCGAAGAAGGGAGGGATAATATGAACCAAGGTAGCAAGGCAACAGGAGCCAGGAGAATCCTGCGGGTTAGAGGAATCCTGCTGAATATACAATTCCCAAGGTAAGAAGGAATCCCCTCGGTGTGAAGGATTCCCACGAGCACTTGGACTATCGCGGGCTTGAGGATTCCCACAGGCTCGTGGACTCTCGCAAACTTAAGGAGTCCCACAGCAAGGAGATCAACCAAAAGTTGCTTCCTACACCGGCCCAACATCAAGATCTGCCCAAGATTGTTCAAGAAGATAGACTTGTTGGAGATTTTGGAAGAAGAATCATGATGCCCAATAACATGATCTAGGTCCAAGAAGCTTCAACAAGTCTTCAATTTACTTGTTCAATATTGAATTAATAAATAAACAAGTTTGGAGGCTCAAAAAGGTTGAAGAAAAGGCCCAAGGGGCCCTGGAAGCTCATGACCTTGTGTAGTTTTGGAAGCTTTAACACATGGCCGAGAGTTGGAAGGAGAGGAGATTCCAGCCAGCGTAGGATTCCTCAACCCATGAGGAATTCTTCCTCACTTGGAATTTCTCCCCTCTTGGAATCTTGAAGAACTTGCTGCGGGATTGAGTCCTAGGAGGAGAAAAAGTCACGGGCAAGAAACCAAGAGGAAAAAGAACCCCACCCGTGTGGGATTTCTTACCCGAGAGGAATAATGATTCAATCTGACTTCCTCGCTTACTAATCTTGATTGTTTTGAGATCTTTTTGGACTAAATTTGCAGCTAAGGAAGAGACCTACACATCTCAGAATCCCGATTCCAAGTAAAACACTTCTTCAACAAAAAAAGAAAGAGTTAAAGCTCCAAAAGGATTCAGCCAAGGTTCCACTTATCCAAGCTGAATTCCTTCATCCTTTTCCTAGTTCAACAAGTGAGCTTTTAAGCATCTTCAACTTGGAGTCTTCAACATAAACTAATTAATTAATCAAGGAACAAGCCAAAAATATGAAGGATATTCAAAGTCCAAATGGGAATCCTCAAGCCGTCCAAGAGAGAGGAGTTCTTCTTCTATTTAAAGATTGTTTTTTATCATTATTTTAATGCTTTCCTAAATAAACTTGTATTAAGATTTTCATTAGGATTTAATTTTAGAATTCAAGTAGAACTGATCCGGTAAGAACCTATATAAATGGCTCACCCCTAGGCTGCTATTCATTCAATTCTCCATCAATGAAACATCAAGTTATTTGCTTTTAATTTTGCTGGTTGTGAGTGCTCTTAGGAGGTTATTTAGTCATCTCGTTGAATAAAGAATTGAATCTACTTATCGAGATAAGTTCGTGGCATCTTTTCAATTCCAAATCCATTGTTCCCTATTACTTTAAGTCACCTTTACATTATTGATTGTTGGTTAAATAGGAAAGGTTTATTTAGATATTCAAGTTTTTACATGCTAATGTTATATGTGATGTTTTGGATTACATGTGTTGATCCTGGGTTCCGCATCAACAAAGAGTGGATCGTGGCATTCCTTTGTAACCAAGTAGTACACCAACAAGTCAAGAAGATGCTAGATACTTCAATCATCCAAACCAGTCACTCTCCTTTCTCATCTCCAGTATTGTTTTTTTTTTAAATAAAAACATGTATATTACATATATGACACCAAAGGGGTGTCACCCCTATACAAAAATATTTACATGTCCATTAATACATCTAATACCCTCTCAAAATCATCCCACCTGTATACATCATAAGCCAGAATTAGACACCTAAAAGTATGTAACCGCCTATCTCTAATTTTACCTATATCTCTCACACATCCATTGAACGCTCTATTGTTCCTCTTTTTCCACACCACCCAAAAAATAGTCAAATAAACCAATGTAATAATCTTTGATCTAATTCCTACCCCTCCCTAAGCCCAAAGTTCATTTTTTATCGAGCCTCCAATCACCCAATTGATACCCAATAAATTGTACACCATACGCCAGAGAATATAAGTCACCGGGCACCAAAGGAGTAGATAATTGCAAAATTCAGCAGCTTCCATGCAAAGATAGCAATCATTGACCACGGTATGACCCTTCTCATCAACTTGTCAATAGTGAGAATACATTCCCAACCAGCTTCCCAAGCAAAAAAACAATTCTTGGCAGTGTCTTCACTTTTAAATCTGATAAATTAGGAAGTTTGAGTCATCATCCTCCCTAATATTAAATACTCATAGAAGAACTTCACTGCAAAAATGTCATCTCTCTTGAACTTCCAAGTGGCGTTATCTCTGTGGTTATCCAAATGCACATCTGAAAGAACTTATAGGAGCCATGTGAACTCATCAGTCTCCCAATCGTTCAAATTTCTAACCAAATCAATGTCCCAACAACTCCTCCCATATGACAATTTAAGAGATTTTGAGTATAAAAATTTTTGTATCCTCCATGGAGGAGAATTTTCATTATATATACAAATATATAAGTTAATTTTCTGCCCCTAAATTAACTACATAAATCTGTTCTAATTAAAACTATACAAGTCATAAAATTAGACATAAAATCTGTTGACTAATTAATTGCATAATTTATTGTCATAATTGTCTGAAATCTGTTAATTAATTGCATAGAATCTACTGCCATATATGTTGATTAATTGCATATAATCTGCTATCATAATTGTAACAAATCTGCTGATTAATTGCATAAAATTTGCTGACTAATTAATTGTTGGTTAATTCCTTTAACATCCCCTCTCAAATTGATGCTGGAAAATCGACAAACATCAATTTACTAACAAAAAAGTTATGGCATTGACGTATTATAAATTTAGTAAAAAAATCTGTAATCTGTAGAGTGGCAGATATGTGTGATAGGGAACTTGATGATCATATGCCTCCCGGATGGAATGACAGTCAACTTCTATATGCTTGTCCTTTCACGGCAGATAGGATTGGCAGCGATTTAAATCGCACTAGTGTCGTCAACGTGTAGTGGAGTATGTTGAACTTGTGAGAAACCAAGCTCTGTAAGAAGACCACGTAGCCAAATGATTTCGGAGCATGCAGCAGACACAGCTCGGTACTCTGTCTCAGTGGAAGACTTGAATACAGAGTCTTCTTTCTTACATTTCCAAGAGATAAGGGCATCATCAAGAAACATACACCATCCAGTAGTAGATTTTTTTAGTGTCTGAACACACTGCCCAATCAGCATCACTATAGATTTATAGTTGAAGAAAAAAACCAGTAGAAAAGAATAATCCACGACTAGGAGTGTCATGGATATACTTGATAATTCGACAGATTGCTGATAGGTGGAGATGTCGAGGAGCTTGCATAAACTTAATGACAATGTAGATAACATAAAAAATGTTCGGTCGGGTGATGGTTAAATAAATGAGACTACTAACCAGCTTCTGATATAAAGTAGGATCCTCAAGAAGTCCCCCTTCATCACGTCGATATTTGACATTAAGTTCCATAGGAGTGTCAACAGATATAGTGTTCATGAGACCAACTAATTTAACATATCCTGAATATACTTTTATTGATTCAAAAAAATATCTTGAGGCCGATGATGCACCTCTAACCCCAAGAAGTAGGTGAGTTTCCCAAGATCTTTCATATGAAAAGAAGAGTGTAACAAATTTTGAATTTCAGACATTCTCTCCTTATCAGAACAAGTAATAACTATGTCATCCACATAAATAAAAAGTACAACTAAACCCTTAAATGTCCTTTGAAGAAAAAGTGAAGAGTCACACTGACTTTGAGTGAATGAAAAATCAAGAAAAGTGGATCTGAACTTTTCAAACCACACCCGCGGTGTCTGTTTCAAGCCATATAAAGAGCGTTTTAGTTTATAAATAATATTAGGTAAGGGAGTAGGCATACCATGTGGAAGTTTTATGTAAATTTCTTCCTTTAGATCACCATGCAAGAACACGTTCTTAACATCCATTTGATGCAAAGACCACGATTGAGATGTAGTAAGGGATAGTAAGGTGCACACGGTTGTCATCTTAGCTACTGGTGCAAAGGTTTCATTATAATCTAAACCATACTCTAACTTGTTGCCAAGAATCACCAATCGAACCTTGTAACGGTCTATGGATCCATCAGATCAAAATTTTATGGAAAACACAAGGTTACTTCCAAGGAGTTTCACAGATGGGGGGCATGAAACAACTTCCTAAGTTTGGTTTTCTTCTAGTGACAGAAATTCTGCTTCAATAGCTTGCCACCAACACTCATGCTCCATTATCTAGTTATATGAGGAAGGAATGAAAATAAATGACAAAGGTGGTTGTTAAGGCAAAAGAAGGGGTAAAACCATACCTATCTGGTGGTTTATGAACACGAGTACTGCGTCTAAGACGAGTAGATGTGGCTGTTGGAACAAAATCAACCGTCAAAGAATCTATTGAAGGGCCCGTTAAGTGTAGAAGTCTGATATGATGTTTTGAGCATGCATCGCTGATACACCAAGAGAGGTTTAGAAGGTATAGGATCTGCAGAAGAATTAGTAAACCATGGAAAAACAAAAAATGAAAGAGAAATATGATCATAGTGAATAACAAAAAAATACTGATTTTCAAAAAATATCACATTTCTAAATATCCGAATATGACACATATTAGGATCATAACAAATAAAACCTTTCTAGTATACTGAATATCCTAAAAATGCACATTGAACTGATTGAGCTGTAAGTTTTGTGCGTTCATGTGCAGGAATATGTACAAAACGCACACAACCAAAAGTACGAAGGTTAGAATAATTTGGAGTGCGACCAAATAACCGAGTAAAAGGAGAGATATGGTTCAATGAGGTAGAAGGCAATCTGTTGACAAGGTGCACAGCAATGAAGAGAGTTTCACATCAAAACCGAGAGGGTACAAAAGACTCTAATAAAAAGATGCGAACAACATCAAGAAGATGACAATTCTTTCTCTCCGCCACCCCATTTTGTCGTGGGGTTGAAGAACAAGATCGTTGAGAAATTATTCCATTAGTTTATAAGAACTTCTGAAAAGAATGAGACATGTACTCACCTCCATTATCAGAGCGAATAATTTTAATTTTAACAAAAAATTGGGTTTAAATATATGCATGGAAAAGCTTGAAGACAAAAAATATTTCATCGCTAGAATGAAGAAAATATATCCATATGAAACGACTATAGTCATCAATAAAAGTGACAAAGTACTTGTAATTAATATGAGAAGTTACTGGTATCATACCCACACATCACTATGCATCAAATCAAAAGACTGCACTACATTTAGTGTATGAGTGGGAAATGGTAAAGTTTTACTTTTTCCAAACTTACAAGAATCGCAATCAAATTGAAAAACACTAAGAGATTATGAGTCTTTATTCCCAAGTAAACCAGAATTTAGTAAAACATGGAGTATATTAGAGTTTGGATGTCCGAGACATTTATATCATGCTCAATAATCAACATGAGCAAAATTACAACTAATAATGGGCAGAGAGAAACATGGAAATAAAGGAAATGGGAGAGGAAAAAGATGTCCTACTTTAGGTCCTCTTGCAATTGTCTTCCCCGATTGTTGATCTTGCACAATACAACCAGATTTAGAAAATTTCACTTTATAGTTATCATCAACCAACTGACCGATAAAAACAAGAAAATTAGGAGAGACAAAAACATTTGTTAGATAAGAAGAAATGTCACCAGTGGCTGTGATAGGTAAAAAGTTTCCATCAGCTGTATAAATCTTAAGATTTCCAGAGTATTTCTTTACATTGGTAAGAAAATTGAGATTGTTAGTCATATGATTAAAGGCTGCAGAATCAAAATACTAAGGAGATGATGTTAAAAAAGATTTACCTGAGAGTCCTAAGGCAGAAAATGCAGAGATGATCATTTGTTGAATCATTTCAGAAGTTACAAGTCTAGGAGTAGCAGGAGCACTCTGTGCCATGTTCACAGAATTACCAGTACTGAAAGAACCAATAGACGTTGTATATACTGTTTCAGATTTCTTAGGAGATCAGATAGGACATTCCTTAATGATGTGGGCGTCCTTTTTATAGTAGTTGTAGAATTTTTTGTTGCAACAAAAACACTGAATTATGCTCAATTCTGTATCTTTTGACTTACTTTGTACTGCATAAGCCATAAAGACAGAGGTAGATCTTTGTTGTTTCATGATAATTTGAGAGAGAATTAGTTGTTCCTCACGAAATAAAGCATTGAGGCATACATCCAATGAGGGGACAGGTTCCCGGTTCATAAGATTATACATGTGCCTTCAAATTCGGATCTTACTTTCATAAAAAATTGATTTTTTTTAGTAGTTTCATGAACAGCTTGAACAGAGATAAGATCTTCAGAAAGTAAGGTAGAATATACTATATCAGTATATTCAGCCCAAAGATTCATAAAGATAGAATAAAAATTAGAGATATAGATACTACTCTGTTGAAAAGTAGCTAATTCATGTTCAAGTTGAAATCTTCGAGCAGTATTGTGCTGGTTGTAAAGTTTTTTTAAATAAGTTCGCATTTCAGTTGCAGTCTTAAAGAATTGGAGGTTCAAGATAACAGATCCTAAAATCCATGCCATGATTTGAACATCCTTAACCTTCCACTTGGCATGTTCATCATATTCTTTATCTTTGTCTGGAGCAAATTTGCTGCCATCAATATAGCCCCATAAATAGTTCTTTTTGACAAAAATTCTGAAGTGAAATGCCCACATTGAATAATTTTTACCATTAAACGAATCAAGATGGACTCATATATGTCTGCGAACATGATGCCGAGAGAACTTGATCAAAACAAACAAGAATAAGGGATTATACTAAGAACAAGACCAAGATTGAGACTTGAAATAAGAAAAAAAAAAACTTAAAAATTTAAAAAGAATGCTTTGATACCATGACAATTTAAGAGATTTGAATAGAAAAATTTTTGTGTCCTCCATAGAGAAGAATTCTATTATATATACAAATATATAAGTTAATTTTCTGCCCATATATTAGCTAAACAAATCTGTCCTAATTAAAACTATTAAACCTATAGAAGTCATAAAATTATACATAAAATTTGTTGGCTAATTAATTGCATAATTTGCTATCATAATTTTCTGAAATCTGCTAATTAATTGTATAAAAATCTGCTGCCATTTATGTTGAATAATTGCATATAATCTGCTGCCATAATTTTAACAAATTTGCTGATTAACTGCATAATATCTGCTGATTAATTGCATAAAATCTGCTGTTTAATGAATTGTCAGTTAATTCCTTCGACACCATTCACCCCCTTAACCACCACATTCTTCCCCCACACTAAATTATACACTCTTGGTAATTTAATCTTAAGATTGCCCCTTCTAAACCATTTATCCTCCCAAAAATTAATGATATTATCCTTCTTAAGCTTCCATTATATACCCTCCATAAACTGCACACTCCCCATACTAATAACCTTCTAAAGACCCACCCAATGAGGCCTAACAATCATCCTGCTACTCCCCTTCCCTACTGTAGCCCCCCAACTCGCCTTAATAACCCTACACCACAACTTCCCTCCTCCGAGTTATATTTCCACAACCACTTCCCCAACAACACCTTGTTCAAATCCACCAATGGCCGAATATCCAGACTCCCTTCCACTTTGGTTGTTTCACTTCATCCCAATTAACCAAATGATATTTACGGGTTCTATCATCATCCTCCCACAGAAAACGACATTATATATTTTCTAACTTCTTTACAATTTTTACAGAGATAGTCAAAGTGGATAAATAATAGATAAGAAGATTAGTAAGAATACTTCTAATCAGAGTTAATCTTCCCATTTTGAAAGGTAATTTCTTTTTCAACTTGCTAGTCTTCTCTCAAATAAATCAATCATCGGATCTCAAGATTTCACATCTTTATACTTATCTCTTAACAGCATTCCCTAAGTATTTAATAGATAAATTGACAAGCTTGCACCCAACAGCCCTAGCCAACCTGTCACCATTACCCTTTCTACCCAACATCACCAACTCAGACTTATGCAAATTGATATTCAAACCAGAAAAAACTTGAAAACACAAAAGAATACATCTCAAATTCATGATCATCTCCTCTTCCGGTTCACAAAAAATTAGAGTGTCGTCCGTAAAGAACAAATAAAACACTTCCATTTGACTTCCACCTCTCCCAACCACAATACCTTTCATCAAGTTCTCCTCCCTATCTTTTTCAAGAACTCTGTTCAAAGCTTTTAAAACAATAATGAATAAAAGTGGAGATAAAGGATCACCTTATCTCAAATCTCTAGAGGTCCTGAAGAAAGAAGAAGGACCACTATTGATCATCACCGCAAACGAGCCGTTGTAATGCACAGTTTCATTCACTTCCTCCACTTTCTACCAAAACCCAACCTTCCCAACATATAATCAACAAACTCCCAATACACGTGGTCGTAAGCTTTTTTCATATCCAATTTACATAAAAACCCCTTCCTCACCCATACCCATCACCTCATTCACAACCTCACTAGCCACCAACACTGCGTCCAAAATCTATCTTCCCTCCACAAATGCATGTTGACTCTCACCAATCACTTTGCGTAGCACCCTTGATAATCTTCTAGCAAGGACTTTAGAAACGAGTTTCAAGATACAACCCACCAGGCTAATTGGTCTGAACCGTCTGATATCTTTTGCCCCCTCCACCTTAGTAATTAAAACAATAAATGTGGAATTAAAAGATTTCACAAAATTTCCAAAATAGTGTAATTCTTTGAAAACATTCATCAAGTCATCCTTTACTAGAGGCCAAAACTCCTGCAAACATTTCATATTAAAACCATTTGGGCCCCAAAGTTTTATCACCATTACAACTTCTAAGGCCATCAAGAATTTTCTCCGCGGAGAAGAACTTCTCAAGATTACTCATCTCATTAACTTTCTTGAATTGGAGCCCATCCAACTTCAGTCTTAGGTCAAGTGGCCCAAAGGTAGCCCGTGCGGCTTGCCTCTCCTAAATCCTTTCGGATTTAATTTCTCACCTTTCCACCTTCTTCAAGGACTCCAAGCTAAAACAATGTCTTCAAAATAAATTTCATATGATTAATATGCAAAATTAGAAGAGAAATTCTACTCAAAATTGAAGAAACAAAGAAGATAAAAAGCTTTGGAGATTTGGATAAGGATAAACTAATATTTTAATATTTTATTAGATTATTTTATGTATTTTAATTAAGTTTAAGAAATGATTTAATTATTTGATCATTTAAGTATTTGTTTTCTAGTTAAATTAAATCCTAAAGTTGAATAGGAATATTAAATCCTATTACAAGTAGAAATAGAAAATAAAAGCCTATATAAAGGCTTAAGTTTAAGTTTTGTAATCACAACTTTGAGAATTAATAAAATTAAAGTTTTGATTAAATTAGTTTTGTGCTAATTTTTCTTCTTCAAGTTTTTCGAAGATAGGAGAGCATTTTGAAGTTTTTTTGAGTCGAAGAGTTAGGATCGACTTATCGAGTAAGTCTATGGCGTCTTTCTTTTTTTTGTTTTTGTTTCTCCAATTTTTGTTTTTACATTTCGTTTAGGGATTGTAAATTCAATTAAGAGAGATTAATTAAGCGGTTAAGTTTCTAAAATTACATGCATTAAGTTGAGGATTCGGGAGTCAAAATGATTCTTCTCATACCCTCCCGCATGAAGTAGTATCAGTACTTAGATTCCTAGTAAATTCTATTTATCTTAATTGTTTTAGCATTATTGTGAATTATTTAACATTCAAATTTATTTTGAATTGTTAATTCGTTATGTATCTCGCTTGAATTTACAATTATCTGTTTAATGCAAAAAGATTCATGTTTCTATCATTATTAAAAAAAAATTACAAAATTAAGAAAAAAATCTAAAAATATGCCAATTGGCACGCTATTTGCATTCTTCACCAAATGCACACCTCTATCGGACCCACAGACCACAGCTTGGCCATCAACAGCCATTGGACTGCCCGAATCATCAGCTAGCAAAGCCCAGCCTCCATTTCCACTCTCTTCTCTATCTGTCTCAACCAGCATTTTACATTCCAGATCTTCTTTCCCCAATTTCGCGTCCCTTTTGCCTGAAACTTTCTCGTCTTCACCAATTTCCTGCATCAAGTCCCTAAAACCCTCTGCATCATCATTGCCTCCCGAACCTCCTCTTTTTCTCACTCATCAACTTTTTCTTTTTCTTTTTTTCCTCGACCCGCATTTCTTTCTGGACTGAGTCGGAGCCTTGGTTCGGGCTTCAATTAGCCGGCCTCTAAACTAACCGATTGTTTGGACTAAAGTTCAATGTGCTTGGGCCTAGCACATCGATCCACTTCCCTTTCTCAAGTCAAGAAAACCATTGGCCCACTCTCAACCTATTTCTAAAACCCGAAAGCCCATTGCTCCCTCTTCTTAAATTAGATCCCCCAAAACGACATCCCCCTCCTGCGTTTTGGGTAGGGCTAGCATAGGTCCGCATTTGAAATTTGGACTGGGCTCCATTGCGATTCGACCCGAACAGCTGATCCATTAACCCGAAACGACCCCCCTTCCCTCCGTTTTGGCTAAAAATGGGTACAGTTGTGGGTATGGGTGCTACCTGTCCTGCCCGAAGATTATCCAGCACAAGTCATTTGAGCATCAACGCCACCATTTCCTTCTCCTTTTTGCTCACCCTATTACTCCATCACTTCATCACACCGTGGACAGCTAACAGAGAATGTTCCCGATGAGGAACAACATTCCAAAACAACTACACTCCTCTACACTACTTCTGCTCTCCCTCTCTCCTTCACCTAGTCTGGTACTACCAACTCGACCTCCTGGACTTCAAAAATTACCTCTATAAATTGCCACCACCCGCCTGCCTTCTCCCACCAGGATAAAGATTCGCTTGGCTCCCCTTCTTCCTCTAGCAAAACTCTCAGAGAGAACCGAGAAATTTTCTCCCCGAATCGAGCTTAAAGCCATCCAAAGGGTACCGTTCCCTCTCTGTCAACATCTTCCCTAGCCTTCCACTCCTTTCTCCCACCAAAACTCCCTAAAGCCTCCCATCAGCCATTCTGCCTCCCCTTTATTAAAGATGATTGATTTTTTGGTTCCCTTCCCATTTTTGAAAATACACACCCCATCTTATACAAGCAAAAAGGGGGCAACTCAGGGAATCAAGCATAAAGAATCCAATTTTATATTTTCAACAATTCTTTTAGGATTAAAAATTGCGACAACATGGATGTTGGAGTCAGATTGGCATTTTAAAGTCCAAGGGATTTTCTACTTCAAGAATTTAATTAATTAAAAAGAGTTGGAATCATAAAAGAGGAAGGAAACCCAAAGGAGGAAGAATTTCTTTTCTTACCCGAATTCTCATCCTTAATTTTCTCATGGATAATGCTGGATTTTATCTTAAATTTTTTTTCTATATTTTCTCTTAGATTTTCTTATAGAAGAGAAATTGTTTTCTACTTCAACTTGGAAGTTTTTAATGCATCTTCAACTCAAATTCTTCAACAATGATTAATTAAATATTGAAGTCCAAATCTAAGTAAAATAAATCATGGAGAATTCGACCACAATCCCACCACTCAAGATAGAAAAGTTTTATTTTATTATATTTATAATTTTTTGAATTCATATTTTATTATATTCTTATATAAGAATATAGTTAGAGTTTTTCTAAAATATAATTTTTGAATTCTAGTAGAATTAATAAGGCTTATGTCTATATAAAAGTCTTATTCCTTTAGTTGTAATCATTGAAATTTGAGATTAATAAAATTAAACTTTTAATTTTGTTTAGCCGTTGGCTAAGTTGTTCTTTAGAGAAGTTTCTTCAACCTTCTTGTTGGAAATTGATGTCTACTTATCAAGATAACTTATGACGTTTTCATCAATTTCTTTATTGAGTTGATTTTAACTTATCAAGATATTTATTGTGGTCTTCTAATCAATTCATCTCAATTATCTTAGTTCGTATTCAAAAATTGAATGTGGATTAAGTAGAGAGAGTCTATTTAAAAATTTAAGTTTCTACATATTAATGTTATATGTGGAGTTTCAGATTACATGTGTTGATCCCGAGTTCTGTATCACTGTCATCCTTTCCAACAATGTCAAAGATTTTTGCCCCGTCGTCAAAAACTTGCATGGACTCTGAACCATGGCCCAGACAGCGGCACCGTCACGACAACGTCGATGGCATCAGACACTCTCAGATAACAGACTCTCTCTCTCTCTCTCTCTCTCTCTAGGACTCGCTTCTCATCTCCAATCTTGTTAGTGAAAAATAAGGATAGGTCATGAAGATTTTGCATAAACTTCCAATAGCTCAACAAACGCACCATTAAAGACAAATTTTCCATACCAATTATTGATGATTTACTTGATGAGTTATATAGGGTGGTTGTCTTTTCAAAAATTGATCTTCGATCAAGATACCATTAAATCAGGATGAGGGATGAAGACGTATATAGAACAACATTCAGAACTCATTATGCTCATAATGAGTTCCAATTTATTCAACTTTTGGGTTGACTAATCTAAATCCTTCCCTCATTTCTAAATTCCTTTTCTGCCCTTGCTATTTCTTTAAATTCATATTTCTGGCCCCTAATCTTTTAATTTTCTCAAAACTATCCAATGATCATTTCAAATTCATTTCTTCCCCTACTATTTCTTTATTTCCATATTCTTCCCCATATTTTTATTTTTCTCAAAATTATCCTATAATCATTTAAATTTTAATATTTTTTCTAAATTCTAATTCTAGTGAATTACTTATCAAAATCGGATCCTGACAGTTATTAAGATAATTAATCCATAAAAGGAAAAAGGTGGTAATTATGGATCACCCAAAACAATATGAATCAAATTTAAAAATTCAGTTCCTCAGCAATTTATCTTTAGATTCTCCATTCCTCTTCAAATCTTTCTTTCTTTATTTCTTCCTAGATCGAGATTAGGATCATAAAACAAAGTATTCACTAAACTTAGCTATATCATATGCTTGTCTTATGTATAAAATATTGAACTTAGCAATGCTTTTACGTGATTGTTAGGTTTCTAGAGGTTGTTTAGATTAGACAAAAGCAATTGAATGATAATCAATGATATATTATATCTTACCCTTGATAAAAGAAAAAAAGTATATTAGGATGATGTCATAAATATAATTCTTAAGTTTTTAACAGATGCATGGTAATGATTAAAATAGACTTTTTGCAATCACATAATTATATTTATCTTACCCGCACATATTTTGTAGTGTTTCACAAAAAAAAATCTAACAAAATCCGTGGGCTAGGTCAGTCACTCTGGAATAAAGTAGATTAAACAAATAAATTAAAAGGTAACTATCTACAGAAAGGTTCTTGAAGTTTGTGATTATAGTTTTATATCATTTGAGGATGATGACATATTTGTTACGTGTCAACCATGATTTACAGGTTCCCCTAAATAATTAACCTTGGGGTTACTAATTACTAGAACGATGAAAAGAGTTTTGATTTTTAAGTTTGGAGTTGATTAAACATAGTTTGCTTGTTAAGGTGTTAACTAATTAATTAATTAATTAAATCTTATTTATATTTATATGAGATGTAAAACTAATATAGGAGAGCTTAATCAGGTCAAAGGCTTAATTTGGTAATACCAAAATGGATTAAAGAAACTACAAAGCTATTAAAAATCATTTCTTGATTGATATCCATCCGGAAGAGATTCTAGAATTTCTCTCATATTTTGTGTAGGATTCATTTAAAGAAGTTTTATTGATTCTTTTCTTCTTTATTAAAGAATACCAACCAAAATACATCTTTGACTGATTTATGCTACTTCCTCAAAGAAAAGCACCCATGACAATGATAAATAAATATGAGAAGAGAAAAAGATCAGAAAAGGTACACTGAAGCCTTACTTGTTCGCCAGGTAGTCCATCATAAAAGTTGAGGGTTTTCCCACGACCAATGGCTCACGCTGAGTCGATCCACTAATAGCACCAACCATGGAGCCACCTCCTGAAATCAAGTAACAAATTAATGGCTTTAAGAAGGGAAAGAGAAGACACCATAACTAAAGATAGTCATTTTATATCTAAGCCTTACATGAAAAGATAGTAATTCTCAACTCACATGTCAGTTACTTTTCTGCATAGAATGCTATACTTGTTTCATGTCATCAGAATAAACTCATATTACCAACTAAAAACTGAACTAAAGAGCTTATCACCCTGAAAGTTTGTTGCCAATCCAATTTTCATATTTCATAGGATACAGCCATGCACAGATATAGTTACAACAGATATCCTGAAGTCATTTTGAGGACCTAATTCTTGAGAACAAAATAAAAAAATAAAATATAACTGCAAGAATAAAAAATCATATGCAACCAACTACTACAGCTTAAGGAAACAAGCACAAAAAAAAAAACTTGAAATAATTGAGGTGTACATGGTGATGCTTAAGGGCTCAAAACTACCAAATATTGTAAATATTTGATAGACACCATACCTGTATCAAGGGAACGAGCACTAGCAATCATCTAGCTTATTAGACTGCTCACTTACTTATGTTTGGTGGGCTAAAAAACTTCCTTTAGTGTTAAACCGTGGATCTGGTTGTACAGGATAAAGACCCACTGAAGGCATGCTTAACTGGCGTTGTGTGTGTGTGTGTCACGTGCATATGTATATGTGTAATTTGTCAAACGGCAGCGTTTCACTCTAGGGTTTTCTGCTGGGGTATAAATAGCCTTGCTTTCCTTCTGTACATTAATTTTTTCCGAAAAAAAAAAGAGAGAAGCAGCAGTCGACGAAGCTGCAATTAGGATTTCAAGTTCTCATTCTGTTTCTCTTCGGGTAAAGTTCGGAACTTGCTTGTTTTACTTTGATTTTTTGCTGAATATTTGAGGTTAGACAAGATTTAGACATAGAAATCTTTTATTTAGCGACCCATTTCTGGATTTCAGGTATGCTAATTCCAGATAAACCTGGCTTACTTGTGCAGATGATAAAGTTTCTCATTTCACATACAACTAGTAAGACCAAATCAGGAAATCCTAGATGAGCAAGAACATGCAGTATTAAAATAAATGAAATCAATAGTTAATAAAAGTATGTCCATATTGGACAGTTAAGAAGCTACATATTATATAATACAAAGTAACTTCTGATTGGCATTCACACCAAGCCAGCTTACAAAATGTTCAGTATAGATCTAAGGTGAATCCACCAAATAAAATCAGTATCTTTTCCATAATATCAAGCACATTAGATTCAAAAGAATACCTGAAGTATACAGCAATTTAACTTAACTAATCATATGTGCATTAGAAGTTGAAAGAAGCTACAATTTCTCTGTTTTTATTTCAGTAGAAGATATACTTTCTTAAACAGAAAAGATTAATGAATTCAGGAGAGAAGAGAACCTGCCCATTCCTGAGCATCAGTTAGATGAGTGACAGCATCTCGATTCGTAGCAATGAAAAGACACCCAGGGTTCTCACGAATACAGAGGGTTCCATACCTTCCATCAGAATTAAAAAAAAAAATCCTACTTTTATTTTCTTTTCTGGGTTCATTTATTTACGAGAAACAAAAGAGAAAAAAAGAAGAAAGCACTAACTGGATTTTGTAGTAGTTGAAGTAACGATCAAATCCAACCACAACAGCTCCAACCTGAGCAGCAGGATGAAAGAAAAAGTTAATTTACTGAGAGAAACATATCTGCATGTTTGCAATTTTTTACTAGCAAATGGTTGTGAATGGGAAAGCAAGAAGTGAAGTATACATCTTTATCATGCTCCATCAGAAACCCAGGCTTAAGCTCAATCTTCTTTGCACCATCATCCTGTATTTGAAAATAAATTAGGTACAACCAGAAATAACAATTCCACATCACAAAAAACTTAAGATGTGCACAGCTCATAGCCTCAGATATGCCATTGATTAAAGACATGGGATTGTAATGCCAAAATACATATTAGCATTTTGTGATGGAAACTACATGCAAGAAAAATATCAATCTCTGTTGGATTTACTAATGCTTCTGGTTGGCCGTTGTGTACCGTCTTGACTTTTATCAATGTTTAGAGAAAAGCAAGGAAAGTGAAAGTGAATTTGTTCTTATGGATAAGATAAAAGGCAAAAATGAAGAAAATTCGTCTTTCTTGAGCAAAAAGAGCCACAAAGAATGGCTATTTCAAAGTTATCACGGAGATACTCCTATGTAAAGGATGCTTCTTCCTACCAACCATTGATTAGAAGGTTCTTACTAAGCACTGCACTTGGTGCATTAATTCCCACCTAGTTGTTGTCTTGTCACGAACAATTGTCTCGTTCTACATGAGTGATTCTTATCCCAATATTTTATGTTCCAGTTGTCAATCTCACATGAAGCAATAATATGTCACACCAAAAACAATTATACACAATCCCAAAATGTCATGTAAAAGTGGTAGTTTTAAATGCACACACACACATCAAGGATATTCGAGGAAACTCGTGTAAAATGTAAATCATACATACTGGTCCACCGAGATATTGAAAACCTGCAAGCTCAAGCTCCTTTAAGATGCCATCCTCACCTATCACATAGACCTGCAGCACTCTCAACATTCAATCTTCCCCATCTTTCTTTCATTACAGAAGCTAAATTGGAAGGACTAGGAGGATAACCAAGAAACCACAGTGCCAGAAAACGCAAAAGCATATTTCAAGTAAATTTCTTTAACAAGTAACTAACAAAGAATTTTTGTAAGTTTTAAATTATGCCATGGCTTTGGAAACAGAAGGTAAGGAAACAAAGATACAAACTAGTGAAAGTAGAAGTAATAAGATCACTATAAAAATAAAATCAAATAAATTCAAATTACAACCATGATCCAGATATCCGCAGCATCCTTAAGATGGCTTTTAGAGAAAATAACAAAAATTCAATAAACAAGAGGTAAGTAAGCTTTTATACCAAATTAAATTTCTTTTCAAAGAAAGGAAGTCTGAATATTGATTGCTATACTGAAGCACATAAAGAATAAATATATGAATCAGGATGAGAATTTTGTCAAAAACTTCTGCTGATTGAACTTTTTCTGATAGAAAAAGAAGTATTATGAATACAAAATGAGAAAGAATACAAACTTCTGCTGACTGTAAGTATGATTTTTACCATTATTTTTTCTATATCAATAACATTCACTTTCATTAAGCAGGGTAACCATGGGTGACCGACCAACCAAGGCTTTATGGCCATGGTCACTAATGGGTATAGGTGTGCAGTTTAATCCATCACTCTATCAACCTAAATTGCTGAAATTACTTGATGAAAATAATAAAAGAAGGAGAAAAGCTGGGGAAAAGTTATGGGACATACCTTTTTATCTTTTGGAAAATCAATGGACTTCAAATATGCAGCAGCAGCAAAAGAGGATGCAAAAATCTCCTCCTGAAACAATTGACTCAAGTTAAAAGTAACAATTCTTTTATAAAAGACATAGCTTGAGAGAAAAGTTATGAACTAACCTCACTGACACTCAGACCAAGAGTCTCGAACTTTTTACCATACTGTTTCCTCGACTTTGTTGAGTTGTTGGTAACAAAAACTAGTCTCTTGCCCTGAAAAATGGAAAGATCAAGAATTTTTCAGGTCTCCTCTTGTGTGTGACAATTTCAAATATCTTAAGAAACAGATGGAGACAGAAATTTTCAATTTACAATCATTTGGAAGCAAATTAATGGAGTGAATGGATGAAATAAAAGTTGCTTCGCAATCTTCATATAGTTATGTAAAGCCATTCATATACAAACCTTTGACCGTAGCATGTCAAGAGTTTCTGGGACTCCATCTATCAATTTGTCCCCTTTCCATATTACTCCTGAAAAATATTCGTAAAAAATTTGTTTAATCACCAAAACGTAAAAGCCTATGATACAGCCCATTTATTACGCCAATTGAATAAGAACTTTTAATACTTTTCAAACAGAACTGAACTTTATTCCTAAAAATCAAACAATCAGACTTGTTTCATCATATGAAGAGAGAATCATCATGGAGGTTCTTGAAGTCTTTGCCGTTAACCATGTTGCTCCTTCAAATTTTGGAATCCACAAAAGTTTGCGCCTTTTTGCTTGTTGCGATGCCTTCCCATTTTTAGACCACGCTATAGTTAATTGCTCAGTAGCGCAGGAATTAAATTGTTTAAATTGAAATACGGGGCCTGTAAAAACATTAAGAACTCTAACGCGACCATCCAGCCCCGGTAGCACCTAGATTGTAAGGTGTCATCAAAACTTCTAGGAAGAAATTCAATGGATAAAACATGTCAAAAGTTCATCAACGAAGAATCCTTTGCTGAAAAACACTTAACTCACTATCAGTTGTGTTTCTTACCATCGCAATCGAAGATGAAAGTTTCGACCGAGTCGATGAGCTCGTCAGCGTTCTTCAATGGTTGGGCCGAAGCTCGCGCTATGAAACTCTCCATTCTCCTCAACCCAATAATATTAGAACTAGAAAGCCCACTCGATCTGATGCTAGAGAGCTGATTCTTGCTGTCTGTCTTGTGGTTGGGAGGGCAACACGAAAATCGAGGAAGGTTTGGTGGAGTGAGGAGAGACAATGCAGAGACTGAAGAAATTATAGGTAGTAATGCTCTGCTTGACATCTCTCCTTTCTCCTTTTTCCTTTTTCTGTTTTAAAAATGGTGGTTAGAATTGGCTTAAGGCCGTTATGAATTGGTGGGTTGTTTCCGTGGGCATTTGATTGGATTCAAATTATCTCTCCATCCAATTTTATCAGACAGCATCGGCTCGACACGTGGTATATTTTAGTGGTAGGAAACTAAGAAAAAATGGTGATATTTTAATATGCTGATATGTCTAATTCTGATATTTTAATTTAAATATTTTAAATAATATAATAAATTCCTAAAAAGTATTTTAATTAATGTTGTTTACAATAATTTATAGATTTAACATAAATTTACAAATACTAAAATATGGTTACTGAAAGAATTTTAAGATACTTTATTTCTAAATTTTAAATATTTTAAATAATATCATAAATTCCTGAAACGAATTTTAATTAATGTTCTTTACAATAATTTAAAGATTTACTATAAATTTACAAGTACTAAAATATGGTTACTGAAAAAATTTTAAGATACTTTATTTCTAAATTTTATTTATTACATAAAAAATTAGATTAAAAGACCACAGTTTGCATAATTGAAGAAATGGTTGACTGTTTTATTTATTTTAAATCTATCACATATTTTTATTTTATTTTTAAATTTTATTTATATTTTAACAGCCCCGAAAATTTAAATGAAAATGTATGTATTAAAAATTTTAAATGCAGAAGCGAAATAAAAATTCTGATTAACATCCCTTACACAATAACCATAAACGTATTCAACGTATGAAAGAATAAACTAATTAAAAGAAATACTCGAAATAAAAACTATAAATAGAACTATAAAATCTTTAGGCGTCTAACTCGCCGTCTTCCTGCGGAACGGGCTCGGAAACCACGTCTTCCTTATCTGAAATGGTTAAGTAAGGAATGAGCTACACTAACCCAGTAAAAACATCACACTATTTCACTGCCACAGAAGTAAAGGTTGATAGAAAACAAAAATGACTAATGGAGCATAATTTATAACAAACTCATTTATTAATGATAAAAACCTTTACTGTCCACTTATCTCGGTGAGATTCGTGAAAATAACATATGGAAACTAAAACATTATAACTATCATAAAATCATATACACTTTGTAACATAACACATGTTATACTTTTGCACTATAATAATCAGACAACAAATTTTTTCTTTTACCAGCCTACTAGTATCCATGGGGATCCATAGGTGGTCCCCGCTACACGTGAACCATTAATATTAATAACCTGATTCCAGGGCCGTCCCCATACCTCATCTGGTATGGGCGCAAAAACCACAAACCTCAATACCCCGTCCGGTATGAGGGTGAAACGGGCCGTCCTCATACCTCGTTCGGTATGGGCGCCAAAATACATAAGGTCTTCATACCCCGTCCGATATGAGAGACCACGTTCCCGATAGGGTTCCCTACGGATCCGGTCCGTCCACCATCTCCCAGGATATCTAGTTAGGCTGTCCACGTTATCCATTTATCAATTTACATACCTTTTCTATTTTTTTCTTAGTTTTCTGTTTCTCACATAATCATGAATATTTAAACCAGTAACGAGCATCCAACAAGGCAGGCATATCATCGGATTCACAAAATCAAGCCATAATGAAGTAAACAGTGATTCATGCATTCAAAACTATAAAATAACTAGATCAGATACCATAATGCATTTAAAACTGTAAAATAACTAAAACAGCAACTGACCGAAAATATGTCAGACTCGGGCTCCATTAGCAACCTTAATTAATTATACGTATCTATTAATTCACGAAATGTCATTTTATTATTTATTGAGCTTTAATACCGTGATAGTAAATAGCGTGAGAAATCTTTACTTGTTTCGGGGTCTGAAATCGGCTCTACAATGCGCCTATAAGCTGTCCCTAAATTCCCTGAATTTTCTCCAAGAAACTAAAACGCACTACCGGTACCTGCACGTATCCCAAAAAATCTCAAATCAGACCCAGGGGCCCTTTTTGGTCAATATCAGAATTCCGGCACGGCGACTCCGTCGTGCTCCGGCGACGGCACTGCCGCCCGCAGCAGCAATCTACCTCGGGTTGGCCGTTCTCGATCGTTTTCGGCCGAATTCGACCAAACTTCCATTGGTTCCTATGATAAAACAATTCTAGGGCCCTCAGTGGGCCAAAAAATCACGAAAAATCGAGACTTACTAGTGGCAAAGCTCTCGGGTGCGGCGGCTTCTCCAGCGTGAGTCGCGATTTGATGTTTTGCTCCGGTCAACCTGTAGAGAAAAGGACGGTGATCACAGTTGTGTAAAAATTGCATCTTGGAAAACAAATGGGATAATTTCTAGATTTTTTAATATTACTTTTATTATTTTTTGATAAAAAATATATCTCCTAAGACTTATTTAATTATTTATTTAAATTTTAGATTAAGATATATTAATATTTTATTATTATTTTATGATAGAATTTTATCTTTTAATTATTTTATTAAATTAATAAGTATTTTTATTTATTTAAAACTATCACAGAAAAAGTCTATATAAAGATATTTGCCCATAGGCTGTAAACACACATTGAGAAGAATAAAATTTTGAAGTTTTTGCTTTCTTCAAGAATTAGTTTTGCTAATTTCTTTTAGTTTCTTCAACTTTTTCAAAATTAGGGAGTTTTTGAAGTCTTATTGAGTTGAAGAGTTGGGATCGACTTATTGGATAAGTCTGTGACGTCTTTCTTTTCCTCGTTTTTATTTCTCTTTTCTTTATTTATGCATCTCATTTAGATGGGTGTATTATCAATTGGGGGGTTTCTTTAGGCGGTTAAGTTTTTATATTGCATGTATTGGTGAAAGTTATAAAGGTTGATTCGATCCTCTCCATATCCTCTCACGTCATTAAGGAGTAAATTTCAAGTCAAATAGAGCGAAAATGGTGAAATTAGAGTAAAAAGAACCCTTAGAAAGAGAACTTTCTCTCAAAGAGGAAATCAAGTTTTTTAGGCCCGAGAATGCTTCTCAAGGCCAAACAGCATCAAGGAAGGTAAGAAATTATTTTGGGAATATGAGAAAACAATCAATTTAAGAATTAGAAGGAAAATCCCTAGGGAGAGGGAGAAAAATCATCCAAGTAACACAAAGTGACACCTTTAGATCTTGAAACACTTCTTGAGCCTCCGATAGATGAAAGTTTAGGCCAAAATATGGGGGAACAATAGGTGACATGTTAGAAAAGAGAAAGGAAAAAGAAAAAAAAATTTTGGATGAGGAAAAAATGGAGAAAAGGATAAAAACCTATAAGTTGAAGGAAAGAATCCCTCGAAGAATCGTAATTTGAATTTTCGAGCTAAATCAGCCTCCCAAGATTAAAATAAATAGAATTTGAGGCTACAATTTAGTTGAAGACTAGCAAGACATTAATGAAGAAGTGTGTGGAAAAATAAAAATGTCTATAGAAGAAAATTTGGGAGAAATGAGGCCAAACCCGAGAGGCATGCACATGAAAGATAATTTTGAACTTTTGGGTTTCTTTGGGCCATAAGTGGACCAAATGGATTCAGATGAAGCCTACAACTAAAATCATGTGACAGTTGCCTACTTGAGGAACACATGAAGTAAAATTTTTCCCAAAAAGATTAAGAATTAAGTAAGTTATAGAGTTTTAATGTAAGAGTATGGGCATGGGCTTAACTTTGCTTGTGGTTTGGACCTTTTGGTTACATGGGCGAAATGTGGTCATTTTGAACCCAAATTTGGTTCATAAGTAGTAGAAGCTACAACAAGCAAGTAAGGGTTAAAAAATCTTAAGAATCAAGGGAGTTATGGTTGTTTGAAGTGAAGAGATGCACATAGCAGGCAATTTTTGGCCTTATAGGTTTAAATGGGCTTAAGACAGCCCAAAACAACTTCAATGAAACCCAAATTTGGTATGAAAGTTGTGACAATCGTAAACTTTTAAAAATTAATGTTATAATATTACTCAATTTTATTCTATAAATTTTTTTCAAATCTGGTATTTTAAATATTTTTACCGTATTTTTTACTATTGAATTTTAATGCCCAAAAGTATTTTATGTGTAAACTAATATGTGTTTTTGTAAAATAATTAAAGTAAAAAGAGAAAGAAAAATTAAAAAAAAAAAAACGAAACAGAAAAATTTAGTTGGGGGGGAAAACCCATGGGTTAGCCTGTGGGTGAATGCCTGCGAGCCACGTGCCCATGCATCGTTCGCACACCCACGTGTTACATGCGCACGCTGCCTGTGCACATGACCCATCGCATGCACACAATGCGCATGTTGTGTCATACTAGCACATGTCACTTGTGTGTTGTAGTGTGTCACATTGCCATGCGCACATTTTCCTATGTGTCAGCGCACTGTCATGTCGCGTGCATGGCTGCCACACGTCATATTTGTCTCGCTTGCCGTTGCAGCTCACATGTGCATCCCATCCGTTCCGTCAGCCACGTGCCCACTTGTAATCGCCCAACACAATAGCAGTTGCTGTCATGTTGCCCGTCGCGTCAGTTAGCTGGCCCATGTAGCTGACGCATGTAGTCACCTGCACCCATCATCAGCTACCACGTGGCACGCATGCAGCTCCATGTGGTGCACATGTAGTTTCTTCTTTTATCCTATTTAAAGTCCTTTTTCACCTCTCCTCTCCCATTTTTCATTCTTCTTTTCCATTTGGTCGAGAGTGAGAGAGAAAATAGAGGGAGAAAGTAGAGAGAAAGTAGAGATTGAATTCTCCATCAACCTAGTTTTTGGGACACAACACATTTCAAAAAGTCACTTATCGGATGGATCAAATAAAACTTCAAGAGTTAGGATGTCAGATTGTAGCACTAAGAGAAAAAAAGGTTTATCAGACCAAAATATTCTCTGTGGGGTACTCTAGTCTTATTTGCCAAGAAAAATAAAGGAACTCTCAAGTTGTGTATTAAGTACAGGGAGCTCAACCAGGTGACAATTAAAGACAAGTATCCTTTGCTCCATATTGATAATTTGTTCGACCAGTTACAAAGTGCATCAGTCTTCTCCAAGATTGATCTTAGGGCGGACTATCAACAGTCGAGAGTTATAGTTAAAAACATTCCTAATATAGCATTCCGCTCTAGGTA